CCACCCCGCTGTCCCTCCCCAGGTCACAGACCTACAGCGCCAACGAGATCAACCTGCTGCTGACGGTGGAGGAAGGTCAGACCGTGGAGTGGATCTTCATCGACCCCGAGGCTTTCACAGGTAACACCGCGGCCACCCCCATGGCACAAGAGCATCCCGCCGCGGGGGCACCCTGCAGGCCTGGTGCTATGCTGGTGGCTGCCAAAAGCAAGGCTGCAGGGGCTATTAGCAGCTCCCACCATTACCTGGGCGCTTAAGTTATTAGTGGAAGCAGGAGTGGGGGAGAGATTTGTTTTTCTAACCGCCCCAGCTCAGGGCTCTCACCGCCTGGCAGCCGCTCCTGGAGAGCACTGCTCCTGGGAGCGTGATTGATGCTGGGAACGTAGCTGTCACAGCCAAACGATGACGTTTTCCATCACATTTTAATTGCATATTGAAGGAACAAAATGCTTTTTGGGCAGCGAGATTTATTTTTTCATTACCGGGCCTGAGCTGCGATCTTGATTGGGAAAAATCTATCGCTCCCGCAGCCGGCGGAAGAAAACAGCACGCCGTCACCCGGCGTCACGCTCGGCTTCTCCCGCCGTGGCCTAGGGACAAGGCGCTGGGGTGTACTCCACGTGTAACTCACCCTGGGAGCCCCTGAGGGCCTCGGGGTGCCCCATGGGTGCCCAGCTGCCCCCTCTAACAGCTTTTTGGGGTATTTTGCCCAGGCACCCTGGCACACTTCACCGTGCCCATCTCCCTCCCCAGTGGCTCTAGCACCCTTCCCTGTGCTGTGCCCACCCTGGGTGTCCTGTGGGTCCCTCCCCTTGCTCCCACCCTGCCCCGCCCTGGGGGGCTAGCAGCCCCGGTGTACCCGGAGGGGCAGTGGGACTCACGAGGCACCACCATGTGTCAGAGAACGGTGAATGGGCCATCAAGCACCGTCCCGCTCGGAAGATCATCAATTCGGAGCAGTTCACCCCTGATGACATCCAGTACCAGCAGGTCATCTTCTACCTCATCATCCAGCGCAAGCCACTCTTCTACATCATCAACATCATCGTGCCCTGCGTGCTCATCTCCGCCATGGCCGTGCTGGTCTACTTTCTGCCCGCCAAAGGTATGTGCCAGCCAAGTGACGGGTGAGGAAAGGCTTGTTGTCCCCTCTGTGTTTGGGGACCATCAGTGCCACCTCTCCCCCACTCCCGTGATATTCGAGGGGGGTGAATTTCCAGGTACCCCTCATGGCAGGACTTGGCCAGTTCAGCTGTGGGGAGGGACCCTTTGCCAAAGGAGGGCGATGCCCAAACCCCCGCCCCGTGCCAACCTCTGCCTTTCCCCCTCCTTGGCAGCGGGCGGGCAGAAATGCACCGTCTCCATCAACGTCCTCCTGGCTCAGACCGTCTTCCTCTTCCTCATTGCCCAGAAGGTGCCCGAGACCTCCCAGGCTGTGCCCCTCATTGGGAAGTAAGTGATGCATGGGGACAGGCGTGCAGGGCTGGCACAGGGCTACCACGTGCCCGTGTCCCACTGCTGATCCCCAGTTTCCAGCCCAGAAGGGCACCAAGAGGGACCTTCCACGCCCATAGCTGGTGGCCCAGCAGCCCCATATGAGGCTCCGTGCCCCCTTCCCAGGTACCTGACCTTCCTCATGGTGGTGACCGTGGTGATCGTGGTGAACGCTGTCATCGTCCTCAATGTCTCGCTGAGAACACCCAACACTCACTCCATGTCCCAGAGAGTGCGCCAGGTACCTCCTGTCGTCTCCCCACCCCTCACACATGGGGAATGGGGTGGGCACTTGGGGACCGAGACCATGTACCTTGCAGAGCGGGGTGGTGGGCATACCTTAATCTAAGTGCAAGTCCTGGCATAAAGAGGGACCCGCAGGTGTCCCCAAGGGACCACGCTGTCCCACCAACCCCCACCAAGCCATTACTGAGGACTGGGGAACAGTGGGTGCCAACACACCCAGCAACCTGGTGGCACAAGGGTGTCCCACAGCGGTGCTCCAGGCGATGCAAGGGGACCCGGTAGCACCCACTGGGTGCCCTGGGTGGCTCAGGTCCCCACGGGTGACACTGTCCCCAGGTGTGCCTGCACCTCCTGCCCCGCTACCTGCACATGCACATGCCGGAGGAGGCACCGGGGCCGCCACAAGCTGCCCGGAGACGCAGCTCCCTGGGACTCATGGTGAAAGCCGATGAGTACATGCTCTGGAAAGCCCGGACTGAGCTGCTCTTCGAGAAGCAGAAGGAGAGGGATGGGCTGATGAAAACCGTGCTGGAGAAGATCGGTGAGTGTCCCCGGCGGCTGGCACCTCCCCACGAGGCTGGGTGATGCGCCAGATGCCCAGGCACTCACTGGTGCCCGTGGTGCCGGCTCCACTGCCGTCGTGGCATGGACAGTGGCAGTGTCCAGGACTTCTGCCAGAGCCTGGAGGAGGCTGGCCCCGAGATTCGTGCCTGCGTGGATGCCTGCAACCACATTGCCAATGCCATGCGGGAGCAGAATGACTTCAACAGCGTGAGTGGAGGCTGGGGGGAGTGGGACCAGCATGGGGGGTGGCATCGGGACAGCCCTCACCCCCCTCCCCA